ACAGGTCGCAGTACAAAATTCTGGTATACACATACAAGGCACTGAATGGAACAGCTCCTCAGTACCTACAGGAACTTGTTACCCTGTATCAGCCGTCAAGATCACTGCGGTCGGAGTCAGAATCTTTGTTGTGTGTCCCAAAATCTCGTACTGTGACCTACGGAAACAGATGCTTTGGGAGGGTTTCGGCTACGTTGTGGAATAGCTTACCATCTGCTATTAGGAAGTCAAATACCCTGGCCAAGTTCAAGAGGGACATAAAAACTCACCTCTTCACGTCTGCATTTTAGAATCTTTGCAAAGACGTCATGTAAAAACCACCCTTTTATTTGTTCAATTATGTGCACATTGCTTGTTAAATGTATGAAAGTGAATGCAAACCTTTGTTGTTTGTTTTCACAATTATAACCATTACTATTATCCATAAGTTGTAAAGCGCCTTAGAGTAATTTCACAAATTATATAGGGCGCTATATAAATGCTGTATATTATTATTATTATTATTATTATAATTCTAACTTGGCATAATACAACATATTATAATACTAACAACGATAACAGCAACAAAATGCACACCTAAAGTTGCATTAAGCATTGATAAAAAATAGAACTGTTAACACTTTCACTTTGAAATGGTGAAATTTGTATATCAACAGATTGGGTTTGTCAATGGTAGTTTGGATATATATATACAGAATACCATACATATCGTTGTGTATATTTGTTCATGCTAGAAGAATCAATACCTATTAACTCTAAATGAACATTATTGTTATATTAAATTGATTTAAAAAAATGACATTTAGAATTATTCTACCGGTATATTAATGATTATCATTAGCATCATATTAACCATAGGGATATATTACGAACAAAATTTAAATATATTAGCATATCATTAACTACTGGAAACAGTAAGTTAAAAATATTTTTATTGGGTAGATCAATGTAATAGGTTAATTAAGCTCACAAATATTATTGTAGATTATTAGAATATGAAATTATAAATATAAGAAAAACATTGACTTATTACTTTATATTACTCAATTAACTTTTTTGTAAGTTTTTGCACAACATTCAGATATATTATCGTTACCTTGGTAAGAGGTGTATAGTTCGGATGGTGATGTTTATAGATTGGGTCGTTGGATTTCTTGTTGTATGAATGGAGCAACGCCCAACGCCTCTTTGGGCTAGTATTTGGAGCACTGGTATGGATCAAATTGGCATGAAAGATTAGAGCGTCACCTTAAAACAGGACAAATACGAATATCACTTGTAATTATAATATCGATTGATCACAAGGCTTGGCGACGTATATGGTACGAAACGTGTATATCGGAGTTATATAGTGAAGCTATACAGATAAGTTAGACTTCTACAGGGAGGAATCAAGAAAGAAGGAAGAGTTTTACTCTACAGGCAGGCCGAGCTGTAGAGGCAGGAGAAGATAACAAACTTCAGGAGGTATATAGGCAGGATAAGTTATAAGGACATGGATAAAATGTACAATACCGGCAGGAGGAGTTACACACAGGATATGATATACAGACAGGATACGACTTCTACAGACAAGAGAAGTTGTATAGGCAGGATATGTTGTACAGGCAGGAGGAGTTGTACAGTCAGGATACCTTTTACACACATGATAAGTTATACAGACAAGATACGTTGTACAGACAGGATACGTCGTACAGGCAGGACAAGTTCTACAGACAGGAGAAGGTGAACAGACAGGAAGACGTTGTACAGACAGGATAATTTCTTCAGACAGGATAAGTTTTTCAGACAGGAGGAGTTGTACAGGCAGGATAAGTTGTATAGACAGGATACGTTGTACAGACAGGATGCGTTGTACAGACAGGACAAGTTGTACAGACAGGACAAGTTGTACAGACAGGATACATTTTACACACACAATAAGTTATACAGACAAGTATTCGTTGTACAGACAAGAGGAGTTTACAGACAGGAACAGTTGTACAGACATGAGGAGTTGTACAGACAGGATAAGGTTTACAGAAAGGATAATATCTACAGACAGGATACGTTGTACAGGCAGAATACGTTTAACGCACATGATAAGTTATACAGACAGATATTCGTTGTACAGACTTGTGGAGTTTTACAGACAGAATACGTTATACAGGCAGGATAAATTCTACAGACAGAAGAACTTGTACAGGAAGGATACGTTGTACAGGCAGGATAAATTAGTCAGACTGGAAAAGTTGTACAGACAGGATACGTTGTACCGGCAGGATAAATTCTACAGACAGGAGACGTTGTAGAGACAGGATACGTTTTACAAGCAGGATAAATTATGCAGGCAGGAGAAGTTGTACAGTCAGGATAAGTTGTACAGACAGAATACGTTTAACACACATGATAAGTTATACAGACAAGTATTCGTTGTACAAACAGGATACGTTGTACAGACAGGAGGAGCACCAAGTCAGTAAATTATTTTTTGTGTTGACTATTCAAAAATCGTTAACGAAATATTCGCCCTATGCATTTGGCTATACAAAACATGGCTTTTGTTTGTGTATGGATCCTTTTCGAATTACTATCTTTGATGTAAATCTTTGAGGTAAATCTATGATGTCAAAAGAAAAATATGAAGCAAATTCTATGTTACCGGGATTCAGCTCCACATGCTCCAGAGGACACTTTTCTTTAATAGCGTTAACCCTGTCCATGTCAGCCATCGTCTGTCCGGCCACCGGTTTGTGCTCTATTCTACCACATTTATGAGAACCTTTCAGGATCTATAAAGAACAAAGTATTTAGAACTCTGGTTAACCCTGAAGAAAGCGCTCGGGGATCTTAATGTTGGACGAAACCCCAGAGAAACCTCGTAGAAAGGCGATTGCGTTATCCTTCGCGCCATCCGATAATCCGTATTCTTATGTACGCATGACCTATACCATCATTCTAGTGTTATAATGACCTTTACCAATTGTGAGTGTAATCGTTATTTTCATTCATTTTGCGAAGTAAGGAATGAGTTTAACCCATTAACCAAAGCATTAAAAGGTTTATACTAATCTTTACTGTTACTCATATTGAAATGTTGTATGATAAAGTTGCTACGTACCTGGAGACATCCATTCTCTTTCTCACACTTATCAATAGCAACAAATATTGTTATCATTTCCTCCGGAAACAGACATCCATTTTGATACCAGTATCTGTAAATGTTGAAGAAAATTAAAACTAATATATAAATTGATTAATTTATCATGGATAAATATGAAATATCTCTTCTGTTAAGTGCTAGATGATATCTCTGACAACGGACATACATACTCTGTAATCACTTCTGTTTGGAGCTAGATGATATCTCTGACAACGGACATACATACTCTGTAATCGCTTCTGTTTGGAGCTAGACGATATCTCTGACAATGGACATACATACTCTGTAATCACTTCTGTTTGGACCTAGACGATATCTCTGACAACGGACATACATACTCTGTAATCGCTTCTGTTTGGAGCTAGACGATATCTCTGACAACGGACATACATACTTTGTAATCACTTCTGTTTGGAGCAAGACGATGTCTCTGACAACGGACATACATACTCTGTAATCACTTCTGTTTGGAGCTAGACGATATCTCTGACAACGGACATACATACTTTGTAATCACTTCTGTTTGGAGCAAGACGATGTCTCTGACAACGGACATACATAGTCTGTAATCACTTCTGTTTGGAGCTAGACGATATATCTGACAACGGACATACATACTCTGTAATCACTTCCGTTTGGAGCTAGACGATATCTCTGACAACGGACATATATACTCTGTTATCACTTCTGTTTTGAGCTAGACGATATCTCTGACAACGGACATACATACTTTGTAATCACTTCTGTTTGGAGCTAGACGATATCTCTGACAACGGACATATATACTCTGTTATCACTTCTGTTTGGAGCTAGACGATATCTCTGACAACGGACATATATACTCTGTTATCACTTCTGTTTTGAGCTAGACGATATCTCTGACAACGGACATACATACTCTGTAATCACTTCCGTTTGGAGCTAGACGATATCTCTGACAACGGACATACATACTCTGTAATCACTTCCGTTTGGAGCTAGACGATATCTCTGACAACGGACATATATACTCTGTTATCACTTCTGTTTGGAGCTAGACGATATCTCTGACAACGGACATATATACTCTGTTATCACTTCTGTTTGGAGCTAGACGATATCTCTGACAACGGACATATATACTCTGTTATCACTTCTGTTTGGAGCTAGATGATATCTCAGACAACGGACATACATACTTTGTAATCGCTTCTGTTTGGAGCTAGATGATACTTTGACAACGGACATACATACTCTGTAATCACTTCCGTTTGGAGCTAGACGATATCTCTGACAACGGACATATATACTCTGTTATCACTTCTGTTTGGAGCTAGATGATATCTCAGACAACGGACATACATACTTTGTAATCACTTCTGTTTGGAGCTAGATGATACTTTGACAACGGACATACATACTCTGTAATCACTTCTGTTTGAAAAATACTTACTCCATAATGCATGTTTTATAATCAGCGTAAAAAATTGAATTAATAAAAACCTGAACAATATCATCTATTTAGTTATGACCGTAATCGTACTGTACACGCCCTGTTACTATAACAATAATATTACTTAATATGTAAAGTAAGGAAAATGACGGGATTTGGAGGAGGGTCGATTATGGTTTGAGGAGACATTTCCAATGGTGTTAAAACCCCCTTAGTCGTCATCCAGGGTATTCTCAAATAAATACCAGGTTAATGTCCTCAAAAGGTTAGAGTTATTTTTAACGTCATCTTTAGTTTACTCTACCTAACAATCTCCTCTAATCACATATCTATTTCCAACCCCGACAACCTCCTATAACAAAGTTTATGTAACTTGATCCCGACATCATATCTCACAATCAGTTACTAAATTAAGACAAATTATCATGATCCTGTTGTTAGTTAACTCTGCTAGTTGACTATCAGTCCCCGAGATTGGGCCGAATCTATAAAAAGGATTTTTTTTTAATTTTATATGCGTCTTTTCCATTTGGCAATACTTATACATAGGATCCGGAAATATTATGCATGGACTTTCAATCTTTTGAACTGAAGTACCATTTAAATTCCCTAAACAGGCTAAATGATCATTGAAATGTGTTAATCTGACGGTTTATTTCTGAGCTTCCTAACTCATATTTTAATTGACATTTTAACATAACATTGTAAGTGTTACTGTAAAGTGAGACAAACGCCCTTATCACCACTTTGTAACTAAAATTATTTCAAATTCACTTCAAAAAATGATATTATTGACAGATAATTACAAAAGCTCACCCATAGTCCTGGTGCCAAAGGTGAGAGCCGCCGTCAAATGCATCTTTCCGGATAAATTTTGCGTGATAATGGTAAACTTCACCTCCACCCATCAGCTATAAAATTATTGATTATCATAAGGATTTATTCCAAACTAATTCGATTTCAAATGAAAATAAATTGCCTGTAGCCAATAACAACAGGTCTTTGTTATTCATTTTCGTGCACGTACGCTTCAATGGAAAAACCTCATACATAAAAGTAAACTTAAAAGAAACAAATATATGCACAGCGAACTGTTCAATCACTGATATATCACTGATATACTTCATCGCATGGACATACATGAAAGAAAACTTAAAAGTAAAAAATCTTTGCACAGCGAACTTTTCATTCACTGATATATCACTGATATACTTCATCGCATGAACATACATGAAAAAGAGCGTTTATATGGATATATTTTGCGTTTATTTCAACACAATTATTCAGAAAAGAGTTTTAAGACATTTCCTTTTAACCCCCATCGTTATGGTAGTTTTATAGAATTAGCATACATGTATCTATCTCATTCACTTCCCCTACACTTGGGAATGACAAAATATTTCTTTTAAATGGGTCAATATATTCGTTCAGGGAATAAGAATGACTTTTTATTTCTTTATATACATGTATTTCGGGGGTAGGGGATCTTAATGAAACTACGAACTATCGGTATAAAACAGTATAACGTAAAATCTTTGACTTGACAGCAGGTATATTTGCGAAATTTGATGTGAATTAAGTTTTTGGATGCGATCGGCAAACGAATTTGATGATGAAGATCGCTGCGATATTAAATAGTTTTGAGGATGTAGTGGCGGATGATTTTGTCATCTAAACCGCTTTACTATGTCTTATCATAATCTACACCGCTTTACTGTGTCTTATCATAATCTACACCGCTTTACTTTGTCTTATCATAATCTACACCGCTTTACTTTGTCTTATCCTTATCTACACCACATTACTGTGTCTTATCATAATCTACACCGCTTTACTGTGTCTTATCATAATCTACACCGCTTTACTTTGTCTTATCATAATCTACACCGCTTTACTTTGTCTTATCCTTATCTACACCACATTACTGTGTCTTATCATAATCTACACCGCTTTACTGTGTCTTATCATAATCTACACCGCTTTACTGTGTCTTATCATAATCTACACCGCTTTACTTTGTCTTATCATAATCTACACCGCTTTACTGTGTCTTATCATAATCTACACCGCTTTACTGTGTCTTATCATAATCTACACCGCTTTACTGTGTCTTATCATAATCTACACCGCTTTACTGTGTCTTATCATAATCTACACCGCTTTACTGTGTCTTATCATAATCTACACCGCTTTACTGTGTCTTATCATAATCTACACCGCTTTACTGTGTCTTATCATAATCTACACCGCTTTACTGTGTCTTATCATAATCTACACCGCTTTACTGTGTCTTATCATAATCTACACCGCTTTACTGTGTCTTATCATAATCTACACCGCTTTACTGTGTCTTATCATAATCTACACCGCTTTACTGTGTCTTATCATAATCTACACCGCTTTACTGTGTCTTATCATAATCTACACCGCTTTACTGTGTCTTATCATAATCTACACCGCTTTACTTTGTCTTATCATAATCTACACCGCTTTACTGTGTCTTATCATAATCTACACCGCTTTACTGTGTCTTATCATAATCTACACCGCTTTACTGTGTCTTATCATAATCTACACCGCTTTACTGTGTCTTATCATAATCTACACCGCTTTACTGTGTCTTATCATAATCTACACCGCTTTACTGTGTCTTATCATAATCTACACCGCTTTACTGTGTCTTATCATAATCTACACCGCTTTACTGTGTCTTATCATAATCTACACCGCTTTACTGTGTCTTATCATAATCTACACCGCTTTACTGTGTCTTATCATAATCTACACCGCTTTACTGTGTCTTATCATAATCTACACCGCTTTACTGTGTCTTATCATAATCTACACCGCTTTACTTTGTCTTATCATAATCTACACCGCTTTACTTTGTCTTATTATAATGTACACCGCTTTACTGTGTCTTACTATAATCTACACCACTTTACTTTGTCTTATCATAATGTACACCGCTTTACTGTGTCTTATCATAATGTACACCGCTTTACTTTGTCTTATCATAATCTACACCGCTTTACTTTGTCTTATCATAATCTACACCGCTTTACTTTGTCTTATCATAATCTACACCGCTTTACTGTGTCTTATCATAATCTACACCACATTACTGTGTCTAATCATAATCTATATCGCTTTACTGTGTCTTATCATAATCTATATCGCTTTACTGTGTCTTACCATAATTCTACACCGCTTTACTGTGACTTATCATAATCTACACCGCTTTACTGTGTCTTATCATAATCTTCACCTCATAACTGTGTCTTATCATAATCTACACCGCTTTTCTGTGTCTTATCATAATCTACACTGCATAACTGTGTCTTATCATAATCAACACCGCATAACTGTGTATAAATGGGGGAAATGATTATTCTTAATCATATTTGTTGTGATACTTTTTGAATTTTTAAATGTAGGTTGTATGAATAACCAATCAAAAATTCCGTTACTTATAATAAACTAAACAGTAAAATCATGCTGATTTTTTTGTATGTTAAGATCTGCTAGATATATATTAATACCCCTGTATACTTAGTTTTAATGTGGAAGCGTATATTTTCATCACTAACATATATACACAGTGGATAACATATTTTGAAATGATGCATCCCTGATGACACATGGGTTGTAATAAGGATTAAAAACAGGTAGATAACTATTTACATATAATTGGTTATATCTAATACGCATTTTTAAACAAGTAGATAACTATTTACATATAATTGGTTAAATCGAATGCTCAATTTTAAACAAGTAGATAACTATTTACATATAATTGGTTAAATCGAATGCGCAATTTTAAACAAGTAGATAAGTATTTACATATAATTGGTTATATCTAAGACGCAAGTTTAAACAGGTAGATAACTATTTACATATAATTGGTTAAATCGAATGCGCAATTTTAAACAAGTAGATAACTATTTACATATAATTGGTTATATCTAATACACAAGTTTAAACAGGTAGATAACTATTTAAATATATTTTTTTATATCTAATACGCAAGTTTAAACAGGTAGATAACTATTTACATATAATTGGTTATATCTAATACGCAAGTTTAAACAAGTAGATAACTATTTACATATAATTGGTTATATCTAATACGCATTTTTAAACAAGTAGATAACTATTTACATATAATTGGTTATATCTAATACTCAAGTTTAAACAAGTAGATAACTATTTACATATAATTGTTTATATCTAATACGCAAGTTTAAACAGGTAGATAACTATTTACATATAATTGGTTATATCTAACACGCAAGTTTAAACAATTAGATAACTATTTACATATAATTGGTTATCGTAGGAAATAGTCAAAACTTATTCTAGTCACACAATTGCAGGTTAGAAGTATTAGTTATTAGTATTTAGTCTTTGGGAAAAAATGGATCATGTTTGAATATGACTTCCTTAATTATCTGGCAAGCCCAGTTTCGATGCGAATGTGTATATAATCTAGCATGCTTCTTTTCTGCGCATATCTTTGAGTGATATTCTACGGAATCTACTATTATATGGAGATCTACTTTCAAATTGACGGTTATTGCATTTCAATATAATCTTTCATCAAGCATAAACATATGGTATGGGGCAAAAGCCTGCGTTTTCTCAGGATTTAGGGTTAGGATTAGGGTTAGGGTCCAACATCAGACTCATTTTCACTAAGATATACGTCTGGTAAACGTTTTAGTCTGGTGTTGGGGTCAGACCAATTCAGTCTGGTCTGACATAGTGGTGGACAAATAGACTGACTGTATTACCTGCTTATCCAAATCACATACACTGCAAGCTTTATTGAACAGGAAGTTAATTGTATACTTTGGTGAGGCGACCGTACCTGCTCGCAAGTGTTTACGACTTTTTCACTCCGAGCTAGCATGCCTGTAACGTCACTTCCTGGATGACTCCAAATGACCATCTTAGCCTTTGTACCGAGACCATCTGGAACCTGTGATATAATTAATATTTTGACAATGACAGCCATAACTAACAATATATCATTTTATGAGTGACCACCAGCCACGAACACACCCATACACTTAAAACCAGCCGGTAATATATACAATGAGGAAAACGACTATGTTACATTATCCATCACCCGGGAACTTTTCAATGAAATATTCAAGTAACAAAGAAGCATGTTAATGCCAGTGTTTATCTGATCATTATACTGTTGCATATAGAAGACACAAGACTGCATTCAGAAAATGAGCTCATAGTTAGTATATATAAATTACCTCTTAACACCACTGTAACAAGTCAAAACGCAAGTACTCACGCCGTATCCGTGATTGTTAACCCCAACCCTACCCCTAACCCTTTACACCACTGTAACAAGTCAAAACACAAGTACTCACGCCTTATCCGTGATTGTTTAACAAGTATGGATCTTAGCGCCACTATAAAAAGTTAAAGCACAAGTACTCACGCCGTATCCGTGATTGTTTAACAAATATGGATCTTAACGCCACTATAAAAAGTTAAAACAAAAGTACTCACGCCGTATCCGTGATTGTTAATCCTAACACTAACCCTACCCCTAAACCTTAACACCATTGTAACAAGTTAAAACACAAGTACTTACGCCTTATCCGTGATTGTTAATCCTAACCCTAACACTAACCCTAACACTAAACACCACTGTAACAAGTTAAAACACAAGTACTCACGCCGTAAACGTGATTGTTAATCCTAACCCTACCCTTAACCCTTAACACCACTGTAGCAAGTGAAAACACAAGTACTCACGCCGTATTCGTGATTGTCAATCCTAACCCTACCCCTACCCTTGCCCCTTAACGCAACTATAAAAAGTAAAAAACAAGTACTCCCGCCGTATTCGTGATTTTCAATCAAGTCTGGATCTTAACGCTACTATACAAAGTTAAAACACAGGTACTCACGCCGTATTTGTGATTGTCAATCAAGTCTGGATCTTATCACCACTGTAACAAGTTAAAACACAAGTACTCACGCCTTATCCGTGATTGTTAATCAAGTCTGGATCTTAACGCCACTATAACAAGTTAAAACACAATTACTCACGCCGTATCTATGATTGTTAATAAAGTCTGGATCTTAACGCCATTATAAAAAAATAAAACACAAGTACTCACGCCGTATCCGTGATTGTTAACCCTAACCCTACCCTTAATCCTTAACACCAATGTAACAAGTTAAAACACAAGTACTCATGCCGTATCCGTGATTGTTAAACAAGTATGGATCTTAACGCCACTATAAAAGGTTAAAACACAAGTACTCACGCCTTATCATTGATTGTTAATCAAGTCTGGATCTAAACGCCACAATAAAAGTTAAAACACAAGTATAAACGCAGTATCCGTGATTGTTTAACAAGTCTGGATCTTAACGCCACAATAAAAAGTTAAAACACAAGTACTCACGCCATATCCGTGATTGTTAATCAAGTCTGGATCTTAACGCCACTATAACAAGTTAAAACACAGGTACTCACGCCGTATCCGTGATTGTTAACCCTAACCCTACCCCTAACCCTTAACACCACTGTAACAAGTTAAAACACAAGTACTCACGCCGTATCCGTGATTGTTAAACAAGTCTGGATCTTAACGCCACTATAACAAGTTAAAACACAAGTACTCACGCCGTATCCGTGATTGTTAATCCTAACACTAACCCTACCCCTAACCCTTAACACCACTGTAACAAGTTAAAACACTAGTACTCAGGCCTTTTTACGTGATTGTTAATCAAGTCTGGATCTTAACGCCACTATAACAAGTTAAAACACAAGTACTCACGCCGTATCCGTGATTGTTAATCCTAACACTAACCCTACCCCTAACCCTTAACACCACTGTAACAAGTTAAAACACTAGTACTCAGGCCTTTTTACGTGATTGTTAATCAAGTTTGGATCTTAACGCCACTATAACAAGTTAAAACACAAGTACTCCAGTCGGTTCCGTGATTGTTTAACAAGTATGGATCTTAACGCCACTTTAAAAAGTTTAAACACAAGTATTCACGCCGTATCCGTAATTGTAAATCCTAACCCTACCCCTAACCCTTAACACCACTGTAACAAGTTAAAACACTAGTACTCAGGCCTTTTTACGTGATTGTTAATCAAGTTTGGATCTTAACGCCACTATAACAAGTTAAAACACAAGTACTCCAGTCGGTTCCGTGATTGTTTAACAAGTATGGATCTTAACGCCACTTTAAAAAGTTTAAACACAAGTATTCACGCCGTATCCGTAATTGTAAATCCTAACCCTACCACTAACCCTTAACACCACTGTAACAAGTTAAAACACTAGTATTCAGGCCTTTTACGTGATTGTTAATCAAGTTTGGATCTTAACGCCACTATAACAAGTTAAAACACAAGTACTCACGCCGTATCCGTGATTGTTAATCAAGTTTGGATCTTAACACCACTGTAACATGTCAAAACACAAGTACTCACGCCGTATCCGCGATTGTTAACCCTAACCCTACCCTTAACCCTTAACACCACTGTAACAAGTTAAAACACAAGCACTGACGCCTTATCCGTGATTGTTTAACAAGAATGGATCTTAACGCCACTATTAAATGCTAAAACATAAGTACTCACGCCGTATCCGTAATTATTAAACAAGTATGGATCTTAACGCCACTATATTAAGTTAAAACACAAGTACTCATGCCGTATCCGTGATAATTTAACAAGTATGGATCTTAACGCCACTATAAAAAGTTAAAACACAAGTATTCACGCCGTATCCGTGATTGTTAATCCTACCCCTACCCTTACCCCTTAACACCACTGTAACAAGTTAAAACGCAAGTACTCACGCCGTATCCGTGATTGTTTAACAAGTATGGATCTGAACGCCACTATAAAATGTTAAAACATAAGTACTCCCGCCGTATCCGTGATTGTTTAACAACTATGGATCTTAACTCCACTATAAAATGTTAAACAAGTCTGGATCTTAACACCACTATAGCAAGTGAAAACACAAGTACTCACGCCGTATCCGTGATTGTTTAACAAGTATGGATCTGAACGCCACTATAAAAAGTTAAAACACAAGTATTCAAGCCGTATTCGTGATTGTTAATTCTAACCCTAACCCTACCCTTAACCATTAACACCACTGTAACAAGTTAAAACACAATTACTCACGCCTTATTCGTGATTGTTAATCCTAACCCTAACCCTAACCCTAACCCTTAACACCACTGTAACAAGTTAAAACACAAGTACTCACGCCTTATCCGTGATTGTTAATCAAGTCTGGATCTTAACGCCACTATAACAAGTTATAACACAATTACTCACGCCGTATCTATGATTGTTAATCAAGTCTGGATCTTAACGCCACTATAAAATGTTAAAACACAAGTATTCACGCCATATTCGTGATTGTTAATCAAGTGTCGATCTTAACGCCACTATAAAAAGTTAAAAACACAAGTACTCACGCCGTATTCGTGATTGTTAATCAAATCTGGATCTTAACGCCACTATAAAAAGTTAAAAACACAAGTACTCACGCCGTATCCGTGATTGTTAATCAAGTCTGGATCCTCGAGAACTTTCAAAATATTAGTGAGCTCCTCTTTATCGAGAAACTGCCTGTAATAAATGATGACGTATAAACATTCATAGCGTATATGAATAATCTGATATATTTTAGGCGGTTGGAAAAATTCTATGAGTGACAATAAAAATTGTTATAAACTTCCCTTCATGATAAGCATTACATATTGTGTGTGTGTTAATATAAATACTTCGTTAAAAGATATGAGTCATGTATTGTACGTGGTTATAATACTCCGTGAACGTTATGGGTTATGTATTGTAAGTGGTTATAATACTATGTGAACGTTATGGGTTATGTATTGTTTGTGGTTATAATACTTTATCGCACCTCGGACAAAAATGTCCAAAAACCATTGGTTCAGAGCTGTCACGTGGTGACCCTCTAATTTTCTATAGAGGGTCAGTAGGATTCCCTTATAGGGCAATATGTCCTCCCATTGATCACCGCTTCAAAACTAAAACAACAGATACGGGTACCTGAATATTCTAAAAATGAGACAATGCTCACCGTAATTCCTATTCGCTACATTATATCGTAAGATGATAGGAGTTGCCTCCCCTACGCCAGGCAAAAATAGCAAGACGTTGTCGCCAGCGACCGTCTTTTGTTTTAGCGTGGGTGCCGTCCCCTTATCTGAGCATTTCGGCGACATTGGCAGACAACAACAATGGAGAGATTTGGGCAGACGACCAATGAGGAAATAAACACGAAGCGACTTTCATTTTAAGCAAAAAGGGTCCGCGATGCGATAAATTCGTTATATAGTCAGTTACTGACCCTCTACAGAACCATAGAGGGTCAGTAAGATGTATAGGAGGCTCGGGCTCCGCCCGCGCCCCCTATAAATCTAACTGACCCTCTATGGTTCTGTAGACGGTCAGTAACTGACTATATAACTAATAATGTAAACGTTATAGGTTATGTATTGTAAGTGGTTATAATACTCTGTGAACGTTATGGGTTATGTATTGTAATTGGTTATAATACTATGTGAACGTTATGGGTTATGTATTTTAATTGGTTATAATACTCTGTGAACGTTTAAGGTTATGTATTGTATGTGGTTATAATACTCTGTGAACGTTATGGGTTATGTATTGTAATTGGTTATGATACTCTGTGAACGTTATGGGTTTTGTATTGTAATTGGTTATAATACTCTGTGAACATAATGGGTTATGTATTGTAATTGGTTATAATACTCTGTGAACGTTATGGGTTATGTATTGTAATTGGTTATAATACTCTGTGAACGTTATGGGTTATGTATTGTAATTGGTTATAATACTCTGTGAACGTTATGGGTTATGTATTGTAATTGGTTATAATACTCTGTGAACGTTATGGGTTATGTATTGTAATTGGTTATAATACTCTGTGAACGTTATGGGTTATGTATTGTAATTGGTTATAATACTCTGTGAACATAATGGGTTATGTATTGTAATTGGTTATAATACTCTGTGAACGTTATGGGTTATGTATTGTAATTGGTTATAATACTCTGTGAACGTTATGGGTTATGTATTGTAATTGGTTATAATACTCTGTGAACGTTATGGGTTATGTATTGTAATTGGTTATAATACTCTGTGAACGTTATGGGTTATGTATTGTAATTGGTTATAATACTCTGTGAACGTTATGGGTTATGTATTGTAATTGGTTATAATACTCTGTGAACGTTATGGGTTATGTATTGTAATTGGTTATAATACTCTGTGAACGTTATGGGTTATGTATTGTAATTGGTTATAATACTCTGTGAACGTTATGGGTTATGTATTGTAATTGGTTATAATACTCTGTGAACGTTATGGGTTATGTATTGTAATTGGTTATAATACTCTGTGAACGTTATGGGTTATGTATTGTAATTGGTTATAATACTCTGTGAACGTTATGGGTTATGTATTGTAATTGGTTATAATACTCTGTGAACGTTATGGGTTATGTATTGTAATTGGTTATAATACTCTGTGAACGTTATGGGTTATGTATTGCATGTGGTTATAATACTATGTGAACGTTATGGGTTTTGTATTGTATGTGGTTATAATACTCTGTGAACATAATGGGTTATTTATTGTAATTGGTTATAATACTCTGTGAACGTTATGTGTTATGTATTGTAATTGGTTATAATACTCTGTGAACGTTATGGGTTATGTATTGTAATTGGTTATAATACTCTGTGAACGTTATGGGTTATGTATTGTAATTGGTTATAATACTCTGTGAACGTTATGTGTTTTGTATTATAATTGGTTATAATACTCTGTGAACGTTATGTGTTTTGTATTATAATTGGTTATAATACTCTGTGAACATAATGGGTTTTGTATTATACTTGGTTATAATACTCTGTGAAATTTATGGGTTATGTATTGTATGTGGTTATAATACTAAAGATCATAAATATCATACAAAAACAGTACGTTTTCTCTGCCTCTTATGTTCTTTTTTTTACTTATAGTTTATAATAAAATTAAAAATGCCCGCCTTAACGACAGTCCACACAATTTCGGTCAAAAGTTTGAACAGCGTATTGTCGCGTGCTGATTGGCAAACAAAGTAGTACTTTGACATTTGAACAAACACTTTAATTTTTTTCCACAATTTAGTATCAATACAATTGCGTATGATATGTCTATAGGGTGATTCCAGTTTTTCAATAGAAATCTGAGCTGAAAGTTAGATTTGAAATTGTTTCGATTTTCCCCCGGAACAAATTTCGCGCATGGATAAATACAGTGAACACCGTGAATGGGACCTTGACCTCCACGAGGGAGTTATTTTTGGAAGTTAATTCGAACTTTTCTCTTTGCTCATTTTGTGAAGAATCCAGGCGTGAATGTATTTGTTGATTGTATGGGAACCCGACAACAGTCGGTAGATTCTATAACAGCATCGTTATTTGACATGTCGTCTGAAACTGAGGAACCGTGGATCCGAGACGCGTGAAACTGATAGCGTTTGAAGTGAGTGATCTTGCGACGGAGCACAGGTTCGTTACAAATGTCTGAAATGACGAATGTTTATGTGTGCTGTGACTCATATCAGTAGGTCTGTAACATATGTGTCAGTAGGTCTATAGAATATGTGTATTTCAGACATTTATAACGAACCCCTGTTGATCAGTGCAGTGTAACAGACGATATTTCTGATAAATTGCATGAGCGTTAAAATTGTTTCCATTGCCGGCATTGGTGATTTCAACCGATGTGCATTTTGTACGATATTGCAGACCTTGGTCTTGTTTTCGTTGTAATACAAGTGGTTTTTTTTTATTTTATTTTTTATTTTGCACATAAATTTACAATGACATTATCAAATTTCACAATGCCCAGCGATATTTCAGCAGCCGTCATGTTTATTTATATTGGATATTGTAGTTCTGGTCAGTGTTGTAATTAATACGCTAAGAATTGTGTCTCGTGCGGCATGGTAATTATGTCTCGTGCGGCATGGTAATTAAAGTCCAATCAACGACACAGCTTTCAAAGAGGCTATATAGTGACAATGCCATGCAAATGTAAATATTACTCTGTGAACGTTATTGGTTATGTATTGTATGTGGTTATAATACTCTATGAACGTTATGGGTTAGGTATTGTTTGTGGTTATATTACTCTGTAAAAGTTTTAGGTTATGTATTGTATGTGGTAATAATACTATGTGAACATAATGGGTTATGTATTGTATGTGGTTATAATACTCTGTGAACGTTATTGGTTATGTATTGTAAGTGGTTATAATACTCTGTAAACGTTTTAGATTATGTATTGTATGTGGTAATAATACTATGTGAACATAATGGGTTATGTATTGTATGTGGTTATAATACTCTGTAAACGTTTTAGATTATGTATTGTATGTGGTAATAATACTATGTGAACATGTTATAATACTCTGTGAAAATAATGGGTTATGTATTGTATGTGGTTATAATACGCTGTAAACGTTATGGGTTATGTATTGTAAGTGGTCATAATACTATGTGAACGTTATAGGTTATGTATTGTATGTGGTTATAATACTCTGTAAACGTTTTAGGTTTTGTATTGTATGTGGTTATTATACTCTGTGAACATAATGGGTTATGTATTGTAATTGGTTATAATACTCTGTGAACGCTATGGGTTATGTATTGTAAGTGAACTTAAACACAGCACTGGAACCATTTTGTACATAGTTCTTAAAACGCATGTTATATGTGAAAATGAATACTTTGTCTAAGATGTATTGTGTGTGGAAAATACTATCTTGTAAATGATAACGGTTACCTAGTGTATTCTGTACGTGTTGTACGCGATTGGAATTATATGGATTGTGTACTCTAGATGATTGTTAATACCTTGTGAATGACTATGGATTGCGAACTGTTGGTAGGTCTATCCTGAGACGACTAAATGGTCCGATACTGCAGGCCTGTATATGCTCTTTGTAATAATAACTTACTTGTACACAATGTATCCGTTATCATCATAGTCTGTTTGCATAGACGTCGACACATCCAGATTGCCAGGGTCAAATTGATAAACTGTTGATAAATGAAATCCATTTATTGCATATGTACACAATTAAACACATACAATAAAACAAACTTGTAATTACCTTCAACAAAGAGAAGCACTTCATCCCCAAGGAATCTAAACTGCCGTAAACAAACGCGACAGATGCGTGTTTACGCTATGGAATGCCTTTGTGTGTGGACGTTTTGTATGTGGTTTCGTGAAGAAGCTATAGTAGACTGTATAATTGTATGTATTGTATGTCATTTCGTGAAGAAGCTATAGCAGACTGTATAATTATATTTATTGTATGTGGTTTCGTATAGAAGCTATAGTAGACTTTATAATTATATGTATTGTATGTGGTTTCGTGAAGAAGCTATAGTAGACTGTATAATTATATTAAAGCAGGTACTGTATTATCAGATAGGATTTATGTCCTTATAAAAATTAAGCCAAAATTATAACAGTATCTAACAATAAATTATGAAAAACATTTTATTGTCGGATGATTCCGCTAAGCATACTTTTTATCTTTCTAAAAGCATTGCATTGCACGTTTCCTTTTAGTTTAATCTCATACGTTTCTAATATTTGCTAATATTATTCTAATAGTATTTCTGTCATTTTAATCAAAAACGCTTGATCAGACGCATTTTATGTATATTAGTCGCATTCCATATAGTTTGTGTATAATATCCAGACAATATTTGACATATTAAGTGACGTTTTGCCACACGCATCTTGACTAGTATATTTTTGAAATGTCTTATGGTATTTTATCTCGCACATTCCGGCTTTATATTTCCTGACATTTTTTTCAACATTTTCCACATGTTTTCCTTCTCGGATATTTCATGACCAGGGTTAGAGTTATGGTTAGGTTAAGGGTTAGGTGTTTTATTAGACATTTCCTTAAGAGCCTCCTGACATTGCTGGCAGGTATAATATGAGTTTTCCATTCAAACCAATATCTGATAGTCCAAGGGAAATGTGTTTTGACATATTGATAACTGAGCTTCGTACATACCTCCGAACGACATTTTGATAAGACTACTGAATCTGAAAAATAAAAATAACTATATGAATATTAAAATAAATATATCGAAATGAATATATATACTTTTACAAAATAAATTTGAAAACTTTGATACGCCCATTGATTTTTTCTCATATTAGACTACAACTTTCATCCCTCCCTCCATCATTCGGTTCGAACTTTTAGACGTTTCGTGTAATTTGGATACTAAACAATAACCAATTGCTTGCCAAATTGGAATTTAATGATTCGTTTAGCATAAACTATTAAATCGATATTTGACTCTTCTTATTGAATTTTTCACTCGGAATTAATTGTAACAATTATGGTCAGCCTTGTGAAATTGAAGGACATTGTATGAATATAAAGTGATCAGTGTAAGCCCTACATGACAAATCAACATCGTTGAATCTTACAACTGATCATTGTTTTCGTCCTACTGGTACATGCTTGGAAATCCCACCCATCAACAGTTGTCGAGCAGGCAAAGCGAATATAAAAATTACTGTATTCCAACAAATCTACTACACTTTTTGTAAACATAAAACTTGTGGTAGTGTTACTTACCCACTCACTGTAGTTACAATAGCAGACTAGCTGTTAAGTCTAGACTTGGTGTTTGTTACCTGACTGGTGCTGTATATCTCCATATACGAGGTCTGTTTATCTGTAATCATTAAATAGATAGCCAGTGTTTACTCAACCATCTGACATTGAGTGATGACCTAGTTATGTACTGCGTACAGTGGAGTGCTGCTAGCTCTAACACTAACACTAAACATGTTGTCCCCATCAAGCCACTGGATAACCTGATTCTAATATAGAATACTGGAGTTAATTTGAACAAATCCCTTGATATGGAAAGGCAAAGCCTTAAAAGAGCGTAGCTTTTGTTGATCTCTGATATTTACCGATTCGATCAGAATGAGAAAATACTGATTTCAGAATGAGATAAGATAAGCTTTATTTAAAGGCGGCGAGTCGATGAATGACAATAAAGCACAATCTCTAATGAGAATTTAAGACCTACATAACAATTAGGGGAGACCGGGGCAAGTTCGTCCACTTTTTATTTAAGTCCGTTCTGGGAAATATGGCAGCACGTCCGTTTTTGAAGAATCGTTTAATTTTTTCCTGTTGAAAGATCGGATGTCGTTTTATTGATATATAATCTCAATTTCTGTTCCATCCTGAACACCGGATTTAAATTCAAAGTTTGTTATAATCTACGAGGTTTGACAGGTAAGGATGCCAAATAAAACTAAACAGTTTTTGCCTGTAACTAGTTATAAATCGGCACGCGGTGTAAACAGTAGTGCGTTGCTGAAAAATGGCGTTAAACTCGTATTGGTGGTCTGGAAAATCATTGTTGATTTCAACATAAATGCATTATCAATTGTTTCTTTTATGAGTGGTGATATATAATACTTCAAATATTTAAGTTATTTCGTTCATATTCTCAACAACTGGTTTTTAAAAAAAGCTGATGAAATTTTAGACGATGAACAAATACATGTACACGTATTGACGTTGACCTGGCATTGGTTTAATGCCGGCTCTATTAGAAGATATCTCCCGGCAGAAATATTAACATAACCTGGTTGATGACAAAAAGAATATTCAGAAAATATCCGCATTTTTACTTTTTGTGACTGGCAAAAACAGAAATAAAAAAAGTTCTGAGGCACCGACAAAAAGATAATGCAACAGATATCAGTTCAACAGATTTCCGGTTATTTTTCATCCTTCCGGAAATAACCGATGAAGGCCAATGGAGTATGACGTGTCTGTGAGGTCATAGTATGAAAATCTCTGAACGAAGATCCATGCACGTTACTTTCGCGCCGGCTGGAATATTAGTTACAGTCCTTAAGTCGTAAAAAATAAATTGTGTTATTTTTATGATTTCGAAATCTAAAAACAATCCTGGTCAAAATTTTATAAACATTATGTCGGTCCGTCAATATTTGACGATTTGATGCCAATTTAAAGAGTATGCTATTTGACTTCTGACGTTGCTCACAACGTCATTATTTCCGACATTACTGTTAAGATTGATACAAACGCAGATTATGTATAGTAATTTTAATTGCTTATTTCTGGCTTCACTTCAGAGGTTTAAGCATGATTTAAAGATAATTCTAGAGCATTTAAATTGAAATAATTAAATATGTTATTAAGTCATACACAAATATTGAAATGTAAAACAAAATAGGGTTCCATATGACCATCGGATAAATAACACTTTTGTACGTAGTTTCCTTCCGGTTATAGCTGTGATAAAAATGTGTTTACTGTGAGTTTTGGAATGACCGTACATGAAATTAATTGGTGCGATTTTCGAAAGGACCGCAGTTGAAATTAAGTTGTGCGAGTTTAGAATACCAGTGCATGAAATTAAGTGGTGCGAGTTTTAGAATAGCCGTATATGAAATTAAGTTTTGCGAGTTTTGACGTTGCAAGCATGGTCATTGTCTTATTAAAATTACGTTGCCACTTTGAATGTCAGTCATGCCCAGTTCAAAGAGTTTTCAATGTACTGAAGAGATTATTTCTAAGAATGCAACAAAGAAAACAAGCAAATTCGTAGAATTTATATCCCCCGCTTTCAGGACATATTGTAGGTAAACATTACTGAGGTTAGGTTTAAACATGTGAGTATCGTGCTGTTGAGACATATTGTATAGCTTGAAACTCGAAAAAAAACTTATCTAATATTTGCTAGAGTTATTAAGCAGAACTGCAGATAATGTCTCTGCGAAATGGAGTCTGATTAAAGTGGTCATCGAACTTGGCTGAGCCCTTAGAGCATTTAACCCTGTGACGAAGTTTGAAGAAAAATCGGTTAACATTTGTTGTAGTTATTGCACGGAACCGAAGCGTGACAGACAGAGAGACGTACAAACCCAAATTAATATCCCCCGTTTCGGTGAAATCCGGGACAAAAATTTAGAAAATCAAAAGGTCCTGGCTGTTTGAATTAATCACCATTTTTATTTCTCTTAAGCGTATATTCTTGCGACACTTTGGATGAAAGTCGTACAGGAATTATATATAAACTTTATTTATTTTACAACAATTATGAAACATGTTATTTTAGCTTATATTAATCACATTTGTTGGCCTGGATATTAGCGAGTAGGGTGCCTTACTGTGGCAGGAAACCGAGTACCCAGTGAAAACCCACGCGGTCGGACAGGTGACCCCATACCAGTTCATGTCCGATTCGGGAATCGAAAAGCAAGTACGCTATCCACTTCATCACCCGACCACCCAGTACAGTACACAAAATACCTGTGTATAAGTATTTGACTTTTCTATTTCAGTTGGAAATGGTGGTAAACTTAGCCTCAGACTTTTCCAATGTAAATATTTAAGGTCGATGAGGTCATTTGTTCCAACAGTACCATTTTCATTTATGGAAAAACTTCAAAATCTTGCCGTTTCAATTTAGTGATTTTTGTTCTCAAAAAAATGTAAACATCAATTTCAGAAAATAAAACAGGCAGTTTTGTTCAGGCACAGAATAAGTTATTCCTATTATTAATACTATTTTTCTTAATTTTTGTAGATAATAAATAAAAAATCTGTTTTGTTCATTTCTCATCATTTTATTAGCCAAAGAAAATTTTAATACTCATCGCCTAACATTACACATTTTAGCCTCACACTCTACATCCAGTAAACACTTTGACATGATAAAAAAACCTATAAAACTTGTACAGTTACAGAAAGACAGTCCTTAGGCCAGTACAAATGGACTGAATAGAATAGTCACTGAAATGCACTATTAACCTAAGAAGTATATTTCAAACACAGTATGTCATCATTCCTTTATTTGGATAGATCACCAGTATCTAGAAGTAGGCAGGGAAGGTACTTGCAGTTGCCAACTTGGTGACAATCCTTTAGCCTCTAACCCCACTGGAAGACTGTCCTTCTCATTACTAGTCTCACATCAGTCTCCTCCCCGTCACGTGCAGGCTTCACCTTTAGCACCCCTGACATGAACTTTAATTACATGTAGTGAATATATCAACAGAAAGTATATATGCATTAAAAAGCAATTGATATATACCTGGTACGTACAAGGTTTGGTGATCATCTATGCAACACAATATACAAAAATGTACAGTTTTATTGTGTAAAAAGTAAAAAGGTTTTTATAAAAGAATGCATTCTTTACACAATCATTGGATGTAAAAAAAACAACCATTGAACAATCAGAAACGATGGAGTTCAGGGGGAAGATGACCCCATCTCAACCTATGCAACAACCCCATCCCTGCAAGGCACACACTCAAAAAGGTATTAACAAATTTAACACATGTATTTTGTCAGGATTGGAGGTAAAGAAGCAATTCAAATAGTACATCTAACCTGTTTCAGGATATTTAAGTCCAAAATGTTTTTAAAGACATATATTTCGAGCAACCAAATATTGTATTTATGAGGAATATATATCCCTGCTTTAAAGAAAGATACAATGTATTGACCATTGGCAAAGCTTGCTAGGTCTTCTGTTTGCAAATTTACCTGCTTACCAGTTTATAGGCAACTATGTGTCTGCATGCAAACACATTATGCAGTTGAATGGTAGGTTTTTGGGGGTGTATCTGCACTGGTAAAGTAATATAGGTTATAGGCATAATTTTAAAGTAAGGTAACACTGGTGTAATCAACCTTTAAGCAAATCATAGCTGTACATATTGTATCCATTTCAATTTTATTACCTTCTGTATGCAACTTCTAAAAGATTCCCATTCTGTCAGAATCTGTCCTGCATGTCATACTGAATGTGGGGAAGACACTGATGCCATATTCCTCTGAATGTTGTTTCTGAGTGGCATCTACTTTCTGTTAAACTGTTTGATAAAAAACCAGCACCACAACAAATGATAAACCAATCAATGATATGAGTGGTTAAGCCAGCAACTTAAGCAATATTATGAATGCATTAAGTTCATAGGTTTAAATTCCATACTGTTTTATTATTATAATTGCACGAGAATAATGTTTACATACCTTGACATCTTTGCTGTACATGCTCAGCATGTTTTTCTTTCTTCCGAGGGTTCCCATAGAACTGCATCATACCACAGGCCCCTGTGATCATGCTTAAGAAAAGGTGTCATAACATTAGTAAGATAGTAATGCACGTTGATATTATTGAAGTGCAGAAAACATGAATTGTCGGTTAGCAGGTTAGTATGCACCCCTTGTCCCACACGCCTGAACCTGGCCAACATTTAGCACGATTACAAGCTAAAGAAACGGAAATGAAGTGACTGAACTAATCGTCTATTTCTGCAGCTATAACACTATAACATTCATATACTTTAAATTACTACATACTACATGTCCCAGTTTTAACGCAGCCACCGTGTCTGTCATCTTCCGTAGCATATGTAAACAATCTACCGGAAGTGTGCGCACCAGAAATCGGAGAAATCCCTGGCGCCTCGATATTTAAGTCGATTTGATGAATCATTGATATCTAAAGTGTATAATAATGTTTGAATAATTAAGAGATAGTCTTCTAGTTTCAGACGGTATATAAGTTGCATATGTTTTGGAAATAAAAGAAGTAATATTTTACATTCTTGTATAGCAAGTGAGAATTCCGTTTTCGCGCGAAACAGAAATAGAATGCAGAAATATGACGTCAGTCGGAATTCCTG